AATATTTAAAGATAACTTAATAGATTTAGAATTTAATGGATAAAAAATAAACAAAAAACATATCAAAATTAATTAAAAAAATATTAGATGTTTACAATTAAAAAGATCTTTTGAAGTTTATTGAAACAATACTTTATATACGTTGTGTTCTTGAATTTGAGAAGAAAAGAAGAGGAAAGAAAGGGATGGAAAAAAAAAAGAACGAGAGCGAAGTATTTGTTTTAAGTATATAATATTTATATATAGCAAATGCAACAAATAAACTCACACCTCCTCATTTTTTGTGATGTATGAACTCCTGACCTCTTATAAGACAAAAAGCTATGAAACCGCTAGGCCAAAGACCCTTTGGTAGGGAAAAGTAATATTTGTTACTTGTGTTCTTGAGAGGGAAAAGAAAGGAATGAAAGAGAGGGAAATAAATTAATTTTTCATATTATATATCGAGCGGGAGAAAAAAGAAAGGAAATATCTTACAATTATACCTTATTTATTTTCCAACGAGTTGTAATTGATAGGTAGATATGTACTTTTATAAATATTAATAATTATCATTATTTGTTTCATTTCCTTAATTTCCTTCCCTTTACTCCCACATTTAAAAGAAAAGTTTGGATGAAAATCAACATTATTTTCCTTAATTTTCATTTCCTTTCTCTCCTTAAAAGAACTCAAGAACACGACAATTTTTTCCTTTCCATATTTTCCTACACTTTCCCACTCTTTCTTTCATAAAAAAAAAGCTCAAAAACACGACATTTTTAATTTTCCCATATTTTCCTTTAAAAAATGAGCTTAGGAACACAACAATAGCGTTCCAACAAGATGAACATCTCCAACATATCCTTTAAAATACAAATAATATATTTTAGATTTTTTTTTTTGTCGAGTAATGCTCTAAAAATTTCTCTAAAATAAGAAAACAAGTAAGAAAAGGTAAAAAGTTTCTCAAGATAGAGAATTTTTTAATGATAAAGAAAAAGAAATTGTTTTTTATTAATTCCAACCAATAAAATTAAATATATTTTTATTTCATGTAAACTTTATTTGAAATTTTATTAGAATATCAAATTTATAGAATCTATACTATATTATAAAGCATTTGATTAAAACTCTTAAAACTCTTAAACCCGTTCATCCCTAAACGATTTCATCTCTATCCGATTTCATTCCATATCTGAATTTGTG